AGGAATTTTTATAGTCGGCTATTGAAGGCAATAGTAAATCATACAGCTGGCTGTAGAAAGCGAAGAAATTCATACAGCCGGGCCACACGAAGCGACAAAAAATTATATAGCCGGGCTATGCAGTTTATCGCCATCGGCTATAAAAGGCTATAAAAAATTGTGTAGAATTTCGTGTGCTTTGGAAATCATTAAGTTTGATACGGAGCCACCTTAATATTTACAAAACACACATTATATTTTACTTAAATACACATTTTTTTTCATCAATTAAAATGAGAGTAATCCATAAAAGATGTGCACACATTTCAAAATCATGAGTTGAGAAACGCTGACTCCGCGAGATTAAATATTAGAGCTAACACAAAGCGGAGCGGCGACGCACTGGCGCCTACAAACCTAACAGGGATACTTCACGCATTGCGCAACGCGTGAAGTATCCCTGTTAGGTTTGTAGGCGCTGGCTGCCCGCCCGCCGTGCCGCAGCGTGCAACAGTGCTTGAAGCAACTATTTCACACCAGAGGTATTGCACAGTATCATACGAAGTTGAAGGAGCTCCAATATATTAGGAATGGCAGGCATCTTTCAAAAGTACGGAGCTTTCCTCGCAAAATAAATCAAGATACTACGGCCCAGAAAGATACCGGTAGTCCAAAAATTCACTAAATCCTATCATCCGTAATTAGTAGCGTTTAGCATACACTTTATCGCCTGGCTGTAGCTTTATCGCCATCGGCTATAAAAGGCAATAAGAAATTGTAAAGCCAACTATAGGAACTATAGGAAATCTTACAGCCGGCTGTAAGTCTATAGTATTTTGGAACACAGACCTCACTGCCATTTTCACCAGGGCCTTTTATCGAGGAGGTCCTCAATTTTGAAGGGAACTCGATTTTGAGAATTTGGGCGTTACCCATTACCGCTCTCCTGAGCAAGTCGCGAGTATCGCCTGCCTATTCTTGGCGGAGCCGACAACGAGGGTGTCTTATTTCATCAGGTGCTCAGCTGTGTAGCTCTGCTCGTGGAGGAATGTCTCTGCTGCCAGTCGGTAAAATTAAACTCAATTAAGAACTCGGCCAACTTTCTCAAACGCTTAGCTCGGGGGGCTAAATATAGACTGGTGGATTCCCAACGCTCTCACTACAATCCCTTTTCCTCCCCCACTTTCATCCCTCGTGCTTTCNGATATCATTCGTCATCTATTCAACCGATTCGCATCCTTTTCTCACGTCGATGCGAACTGCTTCGAATCACCAGCCCTGCCGTGTTACCGACGCTGAAATTTTCGAAATTCAGTTTCATTCAAATTCCTTCAAACATTAATTAAAAGTCAGTGGGCCGATTATTGATCTTGAAGGCTAGGGGAAATGGAGGGATTCAATTGGTCGTTATGGACTAAGAGGGAAAATGATAGACTAATTGTAGGGTCTCTCGTGGGTTGTCACTAGTGGAGTCCCTTTACACTGAGAGTCAAGACAATGTGAATCCATTTCTGATTGGTTCCCGTATTTTAGGCCTCCACAGTGTCACAAACGGGAATAAAGATTACCTTTTCACCGATTGCAAAGATTATAATGTAGAATGAACCGGGGAATAACGGGTTCGACAAGGAACGAACGGAAAGAGAGAAGGAACGGAGAACTGAATTTGAGAATGATCCGATCAAAAATTAAGAAAAACTGCCAATTTGTGTAATCTTTATTCCCGTGTGTGACTCCATAAGAGGGGGTTGTCTTGACTCTCAGTATAAAGGGACTCTAGTCACTAGGTAATGCTTTACTTACCTTCTTTATTCATTGCAACCATAGAATAAATAGAGTCGTAATGTAAATGGGAGAGCTGGCGCCATGTTCTGGTCGACGAGTTCCGAGCCCGGTGTGCGCCGAGCTCAGGTCACTTTTTCGATACATGTTCGATTCAAAATGGCGGTGTGGAATACGTAGTAGTTCCTCTTCTTTGTTTACATCGGATGGCCGGGTCCCCATGTACCGAAGACAATCGATTATGTATCGAAAATGTGACTCGGCGTCACACAGGAGTCTCGGGATTCGGGACATGGAAAATGCTTAAAAGTGGCGCCAGCTCTCCCACTTACATTACGACTCTATGTACTCTATGATTGCAACCACTCGCTTCCGTCGATAGGATAGCTCCATTTTCCCTTCATTTATTTGCCTATGGCGTTGCCTATCAAAATCGATTACCAGCCTGCGGCTCTATGAGTTTCGATTCAGAATTAACCTCCAGTTATTATACACTTAAAAGGGTATCTAAGTGCCCACTAATTGGACCGCATAATGCAGAGAGGAAACAAGTCCCACTAGTAATTTCCAAATTTTATCGGATACTTGTTTTATTCGTGGGAGAAAGGTAATGTAGATTCTTTTAAATATTTCAGGAGATTTTCCTCTGTAACGTGAAGCGTAGACGACTGAAGTTTCCTAAAGATGCAACTAAAAATTTTACCGATTAAAAATTATATCTCAACTGGAGGCGACAGAACTGGCCATCAGAATATTTTTTCAATCCAGAATAATCAAATATTTTAAGGACTTTTTCAAAAGCCGGTGCAAGAATTCTTAAAAGTCACTTTCTTGGGCGATGGCACAACATAATTATTGAGGCGTTGTCCTTTTTTTTATTTTTTTTTTTTAAATTATCTCTGAATCGAACGTCACAAATTTCCTAACGGCGCTGTTTTACTACGTGAAAATTGATGAAGAATATAGGCGTTTGAAATGAGCATTCACAATATCATGTTCAGAGCTGTTACGTTGAGTGAAAGCTCACCTAATTCATACTGCAACAAATGAGAAAAGTTTAGGTTTTTCTCGCTATCTGACAACTGTAGCTTAGCTCTCCTGTGACAAAGGTCTGAGAATGACAGGAGAAGGGGAGAAATAATTAAATTTCTAGCATCATTTTGAGTTCCGCGCGACATGAAAGGGTGCATGATTGAATTTGATCCAATTTCACCCAATCAATTTCCCATCCGAAACGGCGACCCTGCGCCAGATTACATGCTGAAAGTGATCCGAGACGAAAAAAAAAATTGTGTACGAATAAACTGAGATAATCCTCGAAATTAGGAACGAGTTCCATGCTCTCATTATTTGTGGAGCTAAGCTTTTGTTTTATGTGTTGGCAAGGGCATTCCTCCGGTAAGATTGAATAAATTGGAATAACTGGGTACATGTTTTTTGAGAAAAAATGGTACAAGAGGAGAGGTTTCTCACAATACAAACATATTATAAAAAATTCACGCTCTTCATTGGTAGTATGAAGTGCGACATTACTCTGAATTGTTACTTTAAGAAGTCAACTTTCTGACCATAATATATGTGCAAGTCGCTCCTGTAATTCACTGCGGCTTTCTGCAGTATCCGAACGTCACATGAGCCTGTTTTTCCAAAATTTATTGGGCAACGGACGTCATTTGTCAATATAATATCGAATTTTATACTTTAACTGTAATAATTATGCAATTAATAATCAGGCACATAACCTTTACATTTTGAAGACTTTAAAATGCAAAATTTGAAGTTCTTTTTTCTCCCCATTTTCATAATTTATGCTAATATCGCCCCATAACATCACAAAATTTAATGTTCTGGTTCCTCTCACCACCAAAAATTTTGCAACCTTTCCCTGAAACCTCAAAATTTAATGTTCAAACTTAGCACTACATAATAGTTTTAAAACGCTCTTCGGAATAATAAAATAATTGTTTATATAAGAAATTATTAATCTATTGTTAACAATAAACTGGTGCTAAGTTAAGTTTTGGAAATATTGGCAACGGCCAAAGCCCCGCAACATGTCTCACAAAAAGTGAACACACAACCCTAACTGTGCGTTGTGCGCTGCATGTAAACTCGTCAAAAGACAAACACCTTTAATTTTTTGCACGAAATACGCGCATCCATGAAGTACGTATAATTGCATCCAGGCGTTGTCCTTAGTATTGCATTGCGTTCACCTTTTTCTAGTCCATCTCAAGTGGATGGAGAATGGTATTGATTTCCTCATTTTTTGAGGACTGTCGGGGGAAAAAAAAATTTTTTTATTAAAAGAAAAAAGCATGCACATTTAAAATATAAATTTAAAAGGACGATTTTTGGGAGAGACGTGTCACTGAAACTTCTAGATACCACAATAGTTGCCTCACTTCATTTTCCTTAACAAGGAATTAACACGAAGAAATTACTCTAGAAGAGCTATGCCGATGAACTTGGTGCAGTTTTGGGTATAGTTGAAAGTAACCAGAGAAAGTCTGAAAAAAGAAAAAACCGTCGCTCCTTTATTGGCCTTAGTGGATTCAAGGTTATAACTTCTTTTTGACGCTTGATTTTTCAACGGTTGGTTATCTTGTGTTAAAATTCCTCTCTATCTAAGACCATTGTCTGAAATTTGCGTCATCGAATTTTCTCCATTTTTGCTTCACCATGAACATAATACTGGCCTAGCGTTTCGAAGAATTTTGTTCTAAGTGTTCCGTGTTACGTGACTTGGAGTACCAAAATCATGCAACAAGGTACTACAAATACTAACTTTTGGTTAATTTTACTACGTGTTATTAGTTTTCCTCCACAGATAGGTGCCTTTAAGGATTAGCCACAAATAGTTCTTCGGTGCAAAAATTTTAATCCAATTATTCCTCATTTCACTGCAATCAACAGTGGTTGATACATCGACGGTGAAACTACCAAACCACGTATCTCGTTTGCGGTGTTTAAAAATCTACGCTCGCATTTTATTTTTTTGAAGTAGACCAAATCAATATCATTCCTTGAAATTTTCACAGAATTTTCTCCTCACGAAGAAGAAAAATCACATAAATTTTCAAGACTGGACGTTGAGTAGTTTTTCATTTAAAAAATAAAGTATGACAGGAAGTCTGCGACGTCGCAAACCGAGAAACGTGGTTCGGTAGTTTCACCGTCGACATGTATTCACTCTATGAAATTTTAAAATCTTTATAAATGTCTTCTTCTTTTTTCAGTGATGAACAAGCTCAAGTAGATATGGAAAATTGGAAACGCACAAGATCTCAGTCTAATCACGACCAGGATGGAGGATTAGACGACTTTACGGATAGTAATGCTAATCAAAACAAAGTGGTGAGTTGTACCTCAATACCCTTATCATTTTCTTGGTTCCTCAGCAAGGCAGTGCAATCTTAAAACGAAGCAGTATTTTGAGTTTAAAAGTCTATTTAAGAGAGCTTTAGTGGCGCCGCCGTGTTCGCTGCGAAATTTTATGCAGAACTAGATTTTTAAAGCGAAAATCCTCGCTAAATGCAGAGCTCAATTGGAGAGGAAACAGGGCTTGATTCACCGACGAAACAAAAGTAAATTCAGCAACCGTGCGCCGCGCCGGTCGGCGACCAAGCAAAAAAAAACTCTCAGGGTAGACTAGCTGAGATAGAACAGAGCTGGCGCGAACTTGTTTGCGCGATAGCAGAATTTTGAATATCCGAGGGATATTTGAGCAGGGATTAAACTTCTATTCACTCCGTTTTGTAATTATTCTGTCATCATATTGTGCCAGTTATCGTCGTGATAACTGCCTGCGCGGTGTATAAAACCTGTTGCCACTCGGTGTACACAAATTTCACGGAAAACGTCATATTTTAAACCAGGCGGCTCATTCAAACCTATGAAAAATCCCATACACTGCGGAGTCTATTGTCTCGTTTGAATTATTTAGCAAGGGAGATAGCGCCATGAAAAAATTAGGGAAATGTGAGTCTTTGTGTGGAAAAAACTTTATTTCTCTCGACTATCTTCTCTAAGGCGACGCACAAGCTTTTTCCACCCACGGACCATGTAGGATTTTTTTTTTTTTTTTTTTTTTTAAATTTAAAGATATAAAAGTAATCATCCTCATAGATTCAGTTTACAGATTACGTGACTTTCCTCTCAGTATAAAAGCAGTTTCACATTTCTACAGGAGAAGTAGGTAAAGTTACGTTTACAGTCTTCAGAAAATAATTTTTGCTTACCTTTTGAAAATCCTCCAACGATGCTATGGATTTTGCGTGGGGACTTGCTCACATCAAAGATGTGTGTTAAAAGTCAACCATTAGGTAAAGTGAGGTAAAAGGATTAAAGAGAGGCATTTTGAGCGGTATTCATGGGCAGACTTAATTGCACTTAAACGAAACTTGACGTAATAGTATTCTGCAAACTCTAAACGATAAAATATTTCCAATAAACGTTCATTTCCTGGAAATGCGCCTAGACGGAAATGGTATAGGTGATTCTTCCCAAGGAATGTTCGGATCGAAAATTCCTGACCTGAATTAGAAGCCTGCTCTGGAGCAAGGAATACGAAAAATTTATCAGTTATGAATATGATACAGGTCGTCCCAAAAGTCCGTAGCCCTTCTGATAAATTTTCTGCTGCTGATTGTGGAACAATGAAATATTTGGGATCGCTCCTGTCTTGGTACGGCAACTTTTGTGTAGGAGTGGGAGATAAACAGTGCTGGAGGGCTCTCAATTTTTTTCCTCTGTAAAAAATTATGTGACACATATTTTTTAAAAAAGATGAAAAACTAACAATTCAAGCATAAATGTCAATTCTTCAATGTTTCGCAGTGTCTCCAGGCTAAAAATAACATTTAAAACAAAAAAAAAAAAAATGCTCTAGTTATTATTAATGATCTTCCTATGAATATATGATTTCTCGTTACTATTCCGAAAAATTATATTATGAAAATTATCTCTGAGTGGTATGAAGGGACCTCAAAATTTAACTTGCATCTTGTAGTAGATTGACGTTGAAGCATTCCACATTCTCATGGCTTCATAATGCTTTTGAATTTACGAATAGTTCAATTTTTTAACAATCGCTCACGTTCGAATGGTGCAGAAATTCTTGTGTTCGGTAAAATCGTATTCGTTGTGTTTACGTCATTTTGAAAATAATTGGTTCAATTCTCATTTTTTATGCTCCTCAATAATGGTGCCATCTAAGAGGAAAATAAAGAGGCCCCGACCCGGGGTCCCTGATAATGTTGTGCTGTAATGTTCTTTTCCCTCAAATGGCCCCTTTTCAGCAAAGGCACCCTCAAAGTCTCATTTTCCGGCCCGCAAAAGTTGAAAATTAACAAGGGCTACGGGTTTTTGGAGCACCGTGTAGGTATGGGAGCGATAGCATGCACCCATCTCAATCCAAAGGCTAGCTCATGGTATTGATCTTTCAGGCTCCAATGGGAGCATTGTTTGAATACCTACTCAAAAATTTGCATACCGACGTAAATATTTCTCCGAAAGCAGGTAGCGGCTTTGGTAGCGAGGCACATTGCCGCCCTAGCCCTGTAAATTCGAACGGACCACTAGATAGGGTACAAAATTGAGCACCACTACGCCTGTTTCCCCATCAAAATTTCACCTAGAATACGAAAGACACATTGAAACTTCCGTAATTCAATTCAGCAGTGAGAAAATGGGGTTCATATGTGGACATTAATTCACACTCCTTGTTCACATTAAAACCAAAGCCCACTCAAGTCAAATTGAGCACCAAACTAATACCACAGTCTTTAATAAGTGGTACCATTTTCTGACGAAAAACCTGAAGATTGGTTTGCTGTGCGTCCAATCTGCAACCGCGCAGGCTTGCAGAACATGACACGTACCACTACTTTGACAAGCGCGAAATGAGAAAGGCCCTTATTTTATGTAATTGAAACTAAAATTATCCAATTTTCAACCACCCGTATAATTGCTGAGTTTGTTATATGATTATTGGCAATTTCAGGAAGAATTGAGAATTAAGTTTCTCGCTCAGACTTTACTTCAATGTTTGCAAAACTTTTTTTTGCACTTTTACTGCTCTCATCGGTAACACAGGAAAAAAGGCGTGGCATAAATCGTCGTCCCTCTGGCGTGAGGTCGTATCTGAATTTGCGTGAGCCCTGCTCGCCGTATATCTATATGCTTTTCGAGGCTCATGCGAAAATAGAGATACATGCTTACGTCAGAGGACCAACGAAATGCTTGACCTCTCAGTTAATGCATGGTCCCTAACAACAGCTCGTATTAGTGTCAGCGGCCCTTCGGCGAAACACGCTGCATTGTTATGAATAATATAATTAAAATCTCGCCCATTTAACCTTCGGATTCAATTATCCGATACAGGGTCAAAATCGGGCGCTTGCAGGCAGATTGCGAGAGGCATTTACCTGATAAGGAGTAAGCGGTGCTCTATCTCGTCAAAATCGTAACGCTGCGACAAAATAGAGGCGCTGCCAACACGATACACATGCTCGGAGGACCCTTCCGTTTAATGAATGACCCCAAATTATTTCCAAGGGCCTTGCACATATTCTACGACGCAGAGGATTTAATTAACTCCGTTTGCATATTGATTTCGCTCATCTTGATTGTGACAAATTGGACAGAAGCCTACGAGAGGTGTGAGCTGTGTGAGATTGGATCCCTCTCCTGAAATACATTGTTCGTTCTCACTCACCTAACGAGGGCATGATAAGGAGAGAAAAATGTAAAGAAACAACTGGACTGCATTATGCAATTTGGAACTATAAATTCTGGCTCTTCTGGAAAAACACTTATATGCATAGGGAAACTAATGGCACTTACGTCGTTTTTCAACCGGGCTAGAATTTATAGTTCCAAATTGGAAAATGTAGTCCAACTGAGGATTGGAAAAGAATTTTTTTGGATGATCGCCAAATATACGCTACACTGAAAAAAGTGTTGATGGCTATTCCCTAAAATTGTTGTACTTCCACAATTTGTTCGATGATATTGGACATTCCCAATTAATTTTGTCAGTACCGCGACTTTTGGGTTAGTGACCTATTTTATTGGGGCACTACCACAATTGGACGGCATTTTGCAATTTGGAACTATAAATTCTGGCTCTTCGGGAAAAACACTTACGTGCACATGGAAACTAATGGCACATACGTTGTTTTTAAACCGGGCTACAATTTATAGCTCCAAATTGCAAAATGCAGTCCAATTAATACCACAATACGTTATCTAACAGTATCCGTACATAATAGTTATCTATTTTAGCTCGTATTTAGTTTAGTAAGTATTTTTAGTATAGAGAATTTTAGTTCTGTAGCGCTTGTACATTTTGCCTTGCATATTATGCTAACGCCCTCCAATGAAACCCGCGTGTTTATAAAAAAGTAACGATTACATTTTTTGGGAAAGGCAGTGCTTCTATAGCTTACTAAGCGTAAGCCTTCATTACGATCCTTTTACGTACCTGTGTAACTCAAGGTGGAACGCATCCCTTTGGAAAATGCCGCTTATCTCGCGTCACCAACCCCTAAGGAGCCCTCATGCCAAAAATGGGAACATCCCGATCAAACGCTCCAGAGATACAGAGATTAGTGAGTTGAGTGGCGCTTTTTTTAATATAGAATAGATAGATGAAGCAGGATATTAACAGCGTCGCATAAAAAAGGAAGGAAGGATGACTGTGGGAACTACAGAGGGTTAGCGGTGACAGGAACGATAAGTAAAATTTATGGAAAAGTGTTGAAAGCGAAGATCGAAGAGGAGTGGACCCCGTTCGAGGCGGAGGAGCAAGCAGGTTTTAGGGCTGGTCGGTCTACCGCTGATCATCTGTTCTGTGTTACCCAGTTAACCGAAAAGAAGAGAATTGTTGGCCAGGAGCTTCACTTAGTGTTTTTGGATATTGAAAAGGCTTATGATAGTATTCCTCTTGTGAAACTCTGGGAAGTCCTAGAAGAAACTGGTTTTAGTAAAGGACTTATTGGGGCAGTCAAGCAGTTTTATCAGGGGGCTTTTGCCAGAATCAAGTGCCAAGGAAGGCTTTCAGATGGTTTTTTTGTCACCAAGGGGCTTAAGCAGGGATGTTGTCTGTCACCGACGCTGTTTAAGATATATCTAGAGCATGTTCTGAAGGAGTGGAAAAGAAAGTGTGCCGGCATGGGCGTCCCTCTAAATGACCAAGAAACACTTTTCACGCTATGCTTTGCTGACGACCAGGTAGTCGTAAGTCAAGATCACGATGACGCGGAGTATATGACCCGGAAGTTGGTGGAGGAGTACCGCAAATGGGGCCTCGAGGTTAGTGTCCGTAAGACAAAAAAGATGTCAGTCGGAGGTGC